AGTGGGAGACAAAGTTTTAAATGAGTCCTACCCGATCCGCCGATCTGGAATCCCAAATGGCACTCTGAGAGCTGGCCGCGAGCCAGGATCCCTGAAGCCAGGAGGTGAGCCAGAGAGCGAGCCCCCCAAGGCCCACATGTCTGGTTTTTATACCAACCCTGGCTGCTTAACTCCACCCTCAGATCCCAGCCACCTTCCCTTTGGTGGTGTCGGGATTTGTCTTTCCTGGTGTCCTGATGGCTTTGGTCTGGAGTGGGGGTGGAGTCCACAAAGCCTGCATGGAATTAGCTCAGGACATCCTTTCCCCCTAACAATCCAAGGGACCTTAGAGGCAACAGCTCACCCTGGGAGAGTCACGAGCCAAGCGCTGGTGGTCCACAGGCGGCCGGCCGGTCTTTTCGTTATTCGCGATTATTTGGCGAAGTGCCATAGGAAGAGAAGGTGGGCCAACAGGAGGAAGAGGAGGATGGCCCCTCCAAGGGAGATGAGAAGAAGAAGTTGTTGAGGCGTAAGTGGCCACATGGATTGGAGTTACCAGGAAGCCCAGTAAGGGACTAGAGCAAGTCCCTGCTCCGCTCACGTGACATGAGAGGCAGCGAGGGCCTGTTCTCCCGCAGGGAGGTGTCCCGGGTCGTGTACCAGCGGCCGCCAGTGCACCAGATGAAAGGTTCAGAACAGTAAAGAAAAGGAGAGCCAGGCTAAATTTCTCAAAAGAAGGGAAAATTTATTGCACCCCTGATGGCCTCAGGGACCCAAGGTGGGGGTCTGTGAAGCCGCGCACATTGTCAGGGGGAAGCAGGGTTTTATAGGGTGAGGAGAGGTCAGGTGTAGACTGGGTTTGTAGGTCCCTGATAAGATTTGTAGGGCAGGGGAGATTCATTATCTGAATCCTCTAGGCAGGCTTCTGCATTCCTGTTCCCAGGTGGGCTTCCTGGTGGGTTTTTGTATTCAGGCCTCCTGCATGGACCTTTCAGTAGTGAAACAATAGGTAACTTTTAAAAAAAAATCATACAATTGTATGATTATCCTTACATTTACAGAAAGTTATTTTCTTAAAAATGCTTTGTTAGCATACATTGGTTATTAATATTCTAAAGTAAAGAAGTAATAATGCCAGGGACCACCTCAGCAAACTGTCCTGTGAGGGGTTCCTGTAAGGATGAGAGGGCATGGACAAATCTGAGGGATTAGGGGGAGGGGAGTGAGGAGATGCAAACACTTGATCAGGGTGCAGACATCATCCTGCTGAGGGTCTCAGCAGCCCTTTATTTATACCTTACAAGCAAACCCAGAGTACATAAGCATATGTATTAGAGCAGGAAGATAACAATCATCACATCTTCCTCTAGAACAGCCAGGGGTTATTTGCCCTTCAGCAGAGGTTGTAACATTCTTTATTTTGAAGAAGGCACAGTTGCTAAACAAAAGTGTTCTTAGAATAGTCATTTATCTTAATCATTTTATTACTAGCAAAAACTTACGTGACTGAGACTAACATTTCTATATTTACTACAGTGAAGGATTAACTAAGGGCTGGGGAAACAAAGGACAGGAAGTTACCTGGGGGAAGGGAGACAGAGGGATTTTTTTCTAACTAACCTATAAAGTTGAGACTAACATATAACCATATTGTTACAGGGCAGGGAAAGGGGCAGCCCAGACACCACAAACCTGCCTATTCTAAATGGGTTCTGCCATCCACTGCATGAACACAAATCATATGAGACTTTAATGGGAAGGAACTTTAATACAATTAGGAAAAAATACAGAAAAGGCAAAGAATATAGTTTCTAAATCAAGCACCCAAAGTTACCCGTCGCCTCGTGGGTAAAAGTCCACCCAAGCAGGATTGGCCCAGAACAAGGCCCCAAAGCCTGCCACAAGTCTTAAGCATCTTCCAGTGGGGATCCACAGAAAAGGATCAGAAATAACCAGACAAGTCTGGAGGGAAAAGAGCAAAATCAAAATCAAGATAAAAACAGCCATTGCCACCTCCCCACGGGTCTCTCACCCACATCTGTGTCACCCAGTCCACGACCAAAAGGCAAGTGCAGTTTCTTCACGTGTCTCTCGGCTCCATGTGCCTCCTCTGGCTCCATCCGGCTTCCTTCCTTCCTCAGTCTCCTCTGCAGCTTCTTCTCTCTCTGCTCAGCTCCACCCTCCACTTGGGTGGGGCAGGGAGCCTGGAACCTCCCCCTTTCTTGGGGACCACCCTGTTACAATCACCCCTTTTAATTTTTATTCCACCATATCTATGGTGGCACAGATCTCAGGGTGTAGTCTTAGGAGACAGTCTTTTTTCAGGGTTACAATGTGTGTAAGAGAAGCAACAATTAGTCAGCAGCATTGTCCATGAATGTCCAGTATGACAGTTTTCCATTACTGGAAAATAGTCCATTATCCAAGCCAAAAGAAAAAAAAAATCTGGAGCATTAGAAGCGTGCGGGTGAATGTTACAGGGCAGCCCGGATACAAAATGGGTTGCCTGACTGTGGGTCCTCACCCACGCACTTAAAAGGACTTATCAATACTCTACTGCAGGCGGGCCTCCCCGGTGGCGCAGCGGTTGAGCGCTGGATTGCAAAGCTGCCCCCAGCCTCTGCAGCGCCGGTTCAATCCCCAGCTGCTCCCTGGCCACCTGAGGAGGGTCCCACGTGGTGCGCAGACCTCTCCTGCCGCCCGCTGCTCCCCTCAGCAGTGTACTTCCGTCTTTCTGCCTGCTCTGCTCCCCGCTCTGGCTCTGTGAATTCTCTCACCCTCCCACGCTTCTGACTGTACCCAGTACTTGTATAAATAAATAAAAAAATTTAAAAATCTAAAAAAAAAAATACTGCAGGCACACACATGAAAGGTTAATAAAAGGTTTATTTTTAATGGAAGAGCAAATGAGGAAATATACAACTCAGGGAGAAAAGTGGGAGACAAAATTTTAAATGTGTCCTACCCGATTCGCTGATCTGGAATTCCAAATGGCACTCTGAGAGCTGGCGCGAGCCAGGAGCCGTGAAGCCAGGAGGGAGCAAGAGAGCAAGAGCCCCCAAGGCCCCCCAAGGCCCCAAGGTTTTTATACCAAACCTGGCTGCTTAACCCCACCCTCAGGTTCCAGCAACCTTCCCTTAGGTGGTGACTGGATTTGTCTTTCCCAATGTCCTGATGGCTTTGGTCTGGAGTGGGGGTGGAGTCCACAAAGCCTGTATGGGATTAGCTCAGGACATCCATTCCCCCTAACATGAGGACCCACAGCTAGGCAACCCGTTTTATATCGGGGCTGCTTTGTAACAATATGATTAAAGCAAAAAACAGAAGGCTTTTATACAGAAATCATCATCTAATATATATTGTTTTAATAAGATACTGATTCAATATTAAGGCACCAAGGGCATGGAGGGCGTCAGTGCCAGACAAGCCGCACTGACTCTTCACTAGCCCCAAGCTCTCAATTAAGGGAGGAATTCTCCTAATCTAACAGAATCTAACCTATTACTCCTCTACTTATTTAATCAGCATAGTTTTCATATCTAACTTTAAGATCAAGGGAAAATTCCTTTTTCTGTAAGATTGCTGATTGTTGTTTTAAGGAACTACAAATATTTCATCAGAGGCAGGGCCTGAGATGGTTATAGCTTTTGGTTCTCAGAATGGTTAATACGTGACATCAGCAGTGGTAACATTGACTATTCCCAAGTGCATTATTTGTGCTGTCAAGATTATTAGCTTAACCAGTCACAAAATTGTTGTTGGCTTATTCGTGAATGCATACTCCAACAGCTACCATACCCATTGTCACTGAAAGGGAACTGTTAAGGAAAAGCGAATCTTTCCCTGTTAAAGAGCCATAGACATGGAAATGTCAGTAAAAGACAAGCTTGCTTCCTTAACAGGCATATCTAAACAAGGACTGGCAGCCTGCTAGGCTGGTTGTTCTCCTGGGCCAGTCTCAAAGATCTGCATCCTCCCCCTTTTCCTGTGTCAAGAATTTGTATGCTAACTAACCAATGTTATCAATGAATTACGCAGTGCCATTTGCTGTCAGATTGGTTATTCAGTAATTGATCAAACAGCATTTGCAGTTTTACTTTTAAATGTGTATTTTAACAATGGTAGAAACTAGCCATAAACAAATGAGACTCTAGCAGGAGTCAGCTAAAGAGATTCCTGACTTTTCAGGAATCTGCCTCATGCCTGGACCTTTGTCAGACTGTTAGGGGGAAAGGATGTCCTGAGCTAATTCCATACAGGCTTTGTGGACTCCACCCCCACTCCAGACCAAAGCCATCAGGACATTGGGAAAGACAAATCCTGTCACCACCAAAGGGAAGGTGGCAGAGACCTGAGGGTGGAGTTAATCAGCCAGGGTTGGTATAAAAAACCAAACACATGGGCCTGTGGGTGCTCACTATCACTTGCCTCCTGGCTTCAGGGCTCCTGGCTCGCGGCCAGCTCTCAGAGTGCCATTTGGGATTCCAGATTGGTGGATCGGGTAGGGCGCATTTAAAACTTTGTCTCCCATTTTTCTCCCTGAGCTGTACATTTCCTCATCTGCCCTTCCCTTGTAAATAAACCTTTTATTAACCTTTCGTGTGTGCCTGCAGTAGAGCATTGATAAGTCCTTTTAATCGCGCGGGTAAGGACCCACAGTCAGGCACCCCGTTTTGTATCGGGGCTGCCCTATAACAAGACGACAGGAGTAGCATGGCTCCCAGCATAATAACATCTTTTGAAAGGTTTTATTCTAGTAAAGTAAATATTTAAAGCTATAACCCACATGAAAAAATTATACATGGGATCCGTAGTGATTTATGAGACTGTAGAGACATGCTGAAAGAAAAATGTTTGAGAATCACTGACCCAATTCCTGGGCCTGGATTCAGGGAGGCAATAGTGTGACAAAGGTCTTGGTGCAGGAGAGCAGGGGTCTCGGGGTGTGGCTCTCAAGGTCTCAGTCCCCAGAGCGCTGTTCCGACTGGAAGTTGACTGTTGGGGTTTCCTCATCTCCCCAGTTTCACTTCTCACAACCTGGGCGGGTCCTCCTTCCTGGATACTGGTGAGTCACCCCAGGGCTCACTCCCCATTGCCTGGAGGTCTCCAGAGCAGCCAATCAGCAGCCCCGCGGCTCCAGTTCCAAAGCCCCCACCCACCCGCTGGGACTCCGTGGAGGCGCGTCCTGGGGGATGGGGGGCGCAGCCCTCCTGCTGCTGCTCGCGGTGGCCGAGGCCCGAGGGAGACCCGGGCGGGTGAGTGCGGGTCGGGAGGGGACAGGGCGCTCCCAGAGGCGGGAGCGAGGGCGCGGGCGGGGTGGGAAAGGCGCGACCTCGCCGCCGCCCTAGTTGTCCCCCCACCTCGGCCCCGCCCCGTCCTGGCCCCTTTCTGTCCCCCGAGACCCCAGCCTCCTCTGGCCCCCGAGTCCCGGCCATTTTCGTCCCGCAGCCACTTTTCAATCTCACTCATCTTTCACCCACTTTCTGTCTCGTGGGCGCCCCCCGGGACTCGAGCCCCCGAAGGGAGAAGAATAGGCCTGGTCTCCCCTCCCGCCCCCAGGCCCCCACTCCATAAGGATTTTCCACACCACGATGTCCCGGCCCGGCCCCGGGGAGCCCCGCTTCATCTCCGTGGTCTACGTGGACGACACGCAGTTCCGGCGGTTCGACAGCGACTCTCCGGGCCAGAGCTTGGAGCTGCGGGCGCCCTGGGCTGAGCAGGTGGAGCAGGAGAAGCAGGAGGAGTGGGACGAGGACGCGCGGGTCCTAAGGGAGCGCGCACTGTGGTACCGAGCGCGACTGGACGCCCTGCACGGCCTCTACAACCGGAGCGAGACCGGTGAGCTGGCGCGGGTCCGAGCCGGGTCAGCACCTCCATCCCCACGGACGGGGCAGGGTCTCCCCCTCCAGGCTTCTCTGCAATTGCCCGGGAACAGCCCGCGGGACTTTCACCCCATTTCATTCTGTTTAGTTTATTCAGGGCGGGAGGGGGCGCGGGCGGGGTGACCGCGGGGTGACACTGGCGGGGACAGGGTCTCACACCTTCCAGATGATGTCTGGCTGCGACGTGGGGCCCGACTGGCGAGTCCTCCGCGCGTACAGACAGTACGCCTATGATGGCGCCGATTACCTGGCCCTGAACCCGGACCTGCGCTCCTGGACCACTGTGGACACAGCCGCTCAGATCTCCCAGCGCGAGTGGGAGGCCCTGGGTGAGGCAGAGAGATTCAGAAACTATTTGGAGTACTGGTACTTGAGGTGGCTGCGCACATGCCTGGAGTACGGGAAGGAGACTCTGCAGCGCACGGGTAAGAGGGGCCTGGAGGCCTCCCGGTCCCCCCCTGCCTGGAGTCACTGCGGGAAATGAGTCCTCTCTCTAGTCCCGAGAGGGGGGCTCCCCTGGGTTTCATGTTCTGCACTAGAGAGACTCCCAGAGACTCCGGCTTCTCCTGAAGGACAGTGAAGGGATCCCGTCTCTCCTGAGAAAGACAGACAGTCCCTGACATCACACGTCACCGGGTCCTTTTGACCAGGGGCCTGTTTGAGAACCACGAGTTTCTCTCTCAGTCTTGTTTCTGGTCTGAGAACATTTTCAGTTATGTGATTCCTGCTTTTCTGTGTCATTCACCTTCCACCCAGGTCAGGAATAAAAAGTCTGTGTTCCACTCCCTCTGCTTCATCCTACCCTGGGTTTTCATCCTCATTCTAGTACTATCTAAGAAATAGGAGACTCTCACAGATTCCCCAGATTAGCCTGTTTTTTTACATTTTTATGCTTCTAGCTGTTACAGGGCAAACCCTGATAAAAAATGGGGTTTCCTGACTGTGGGTCCTCACCTGTGTGCTTAAAGGTGACGTATGAATGCTAAACTGCAGACACACATAAAAGGTTGATAAAAGGTTTATTTACACGGTAAGAGGAAATGGGAAATGAATAACTCAGGGAGAAAAAGAGGGAGATAAGTTTGTAAATACGTCCTACCCGTTCCGCTGACCTGGGATTCCAGTGACCCACAGAGGTGGTGAAAACCTAGCACGCCTCGTGGCCAAGCCAGAGACTCCCGGCCACATGACCAGTTAAATACCCAAATGGAGAGCCTAGTTGCTTAACTCCACCCTCGGGTCCTCCCAACCTTCCCTTTGGTGATATGGGATTTGTAGTTCCCAGTGTCGTGGGGGTGGAGTCCGCAAAGCCTGTATGGAGTTTGCTCAGGACATCCTTCACCCCTGTCATTCCTGCCACGCCAGTTGTCTTGTCCATTGTGAGGATGGTCTCATGAGGAGTCTTCAGTGTCCATGGAGGAAACACAAAGTGAGTTTTCTGATTTACCACCTCAGAACCCCCAAGGACACGTGTGACCCACCACCCCACCTCTGAGTATGCGGTCACCCTGAGGTGCTGGGCCCTGGGCTTCTACCCTGCGGACATCACCCTGACCTGGCAGCGAGATGGGGAGGACCTCACCCAGGAGATGGAGCTGGTGGAGACCAGGCCTGGAGGAGATGGAACCTTCCAGAAGTGGGCAGCTGTGGTGGTGCCTTCTGGAGAGGAGCAGAGATACACGTGCCACGTGCAGCATGAAGGCCTGCTGGAGCCCCAAGTCCTGAGATGGGGTAAGGAGGAGGATGTGGGCAGTGATGTTGTTCTCAGGGCCATCAGGAGCCCTTCTGGAGCCCTTCTGGAGCCCTTCAGAGGGTCAGGATAAGGTCTGGAGCTCAGGGTATGATCTTCCCTTCCCTACCAGTGCCCCCTCCTCAGTCCTCCATCCTCACCGTGAGCATCATTGCTGGCCTGGTTCTCCTTGTTGCTGTGCTCACTGGAGCTGCAGTGGTTGCAGCTGTGATGTGGAGGAAGAAGCACTCAGGTAGGGAAGGGAGTGGGGGATCTTGTCCACTGGGGGCTTTCATATCCCAGGGAGAACTTGCCCTGCCTGGTTAATGGGAATTACCATCCACACACATGTGTGTTGCCCAGAGGGCATTTGGTCCAGTCCCCCCTCACCTCCTTTCTTCATTTTTCTCAGTCCTGACCTGGGTCTTTAGTCCCAGTTCTGAAAACTTCCTGTTGTGCAGGATTAAAAGATTCCTTTAGGTCTTCTGACCTGACTGCTCCCTGGTCTCCCATGATGCTTCTTCCCACAGTAGGACAAGGAGGAAGCTACACTGAGGCCGCAGGTAAGTGTGGATCTGGGGTTTGATCCCTGAGCCCCTGGGGACAGTGTAGATGGACTCCATGGGGGAGTTACCCTCATCAGTCCTTCCTGTGGTCTCATCTCTGACCAGGTTCTGTTTTGTTCTCAACCAGGCAGCGACAGTGCCTATGGCTCTGATGTGTCTCTCAGCCCCTAAGGATCTTTTACAATGAACCCGATGAGGCTCCTGTTGTGCGCACCCTGGGCAGCAGGGTGATGGTGTCACTGTTGTTCTTAACTGTGATATTGAGCATTTGTTCATATATTTATTTTTCTATGTCTACATAAGTTGCTATGTCTATAAATAATAATAAATAAAATAAAAAATTTATTTATTCATGCATACAAGAAATGGGGTACAGGCCAGATGCACGGGAGGTGATCAGATTCACCAGAGACAGAGTGGGGAACAGAACAAGCAGACTGATGAAATACACTGCTGAGGGGAGCAGCGGGTGAGACAGGAGAGGTCTGCCGCACCATGTGGGATTCTTGCCTGCTGGCTGGGATCTAACCTACACTGCAGATGCTGCGGACAGCCTCACAGTGCTGCGCTCAACCACCAGCGCCACCAAGGGAGGCCTGGAAGTCAATTTTTTTTTTGCTATATTTATAACACTGTTTTTTTGTCCTTATTAAAATTGGGTTATATCTTGCTGATCATTGAGTTTTAAGCATTATTTGTAAATTCTTGATACAGTGCTTTATCAGTTTTGTAATATGCAAATGTTTCTCCCCACTCTGTGACTGAACTCCTTTACTGACGGGAAAGCAAGCATTATTGTCCAGACAGAAGCATGGATATATTTTTTTAGAAAAGAAAAGATAAATTTCTAATTGGTTTTGAGCAGATACTGGCTGACTGGGATGTTGGGGGATGGAAGGGAATGACTGACTTATGCATATCCTTGAGTGTTATTTAAATGTTCTTGCATGAGCATGAAATATGCTTTCAAAACTAAATTACACTTCATTCCTCAATTTATAAAACTCTTCACACATCATGTCCAAATCACGTATTAAGATCAGACTGGCACGTGGGCTACAAGTGAGGGACCCGCACATCATAGTTGCACAGTCATGGTTTCTCTCAGGGGTCACCCTGGTGGTGTTCGTTCTGTGGGTGTTGGACAAATGTATAATGACCTGTGTCCATCATGAGAATATCATGCAGAGTATTTTCACTGTCCCTAATGTCTTCTGTGCTCCAAGGAAGCAATGGAATCACATGAGACTAAAAAGCTTCTATATAGTGGGGGAAACTCATTAAAATGAAAAGACAATATCAAGTTGCAGAAAATATTTGCACACCATCAATCCAAAAAGGAGTTTGCTGCAGGAGGCCTTGTTGCTCCAGCCAGATAGGATGCTGACAAGCAGCTAAGAGAAAAGGCCTCACACCGTGCGGCTGAAGATCTGGCATCCCTTTGCTTTTTGTTCTTGGTCATAGAGAGAGAAAAATTTATCAGAAAGTATATTAGGCAATAAATTATATGTATCAGCATACTGTAAGTAAATAGCACGAAAAATTGTTTGTTTAGAAATTAGTTGTTGGGCAGTTTGGCCCACTTGACAATGGGAGATGGTTTGTTGAACATGCCTGACAAGCATTACAATACAATAATTATAGTGGGTCCTTCTTTTGCCTTCCCTTGAAGTTTCTTGGGGAAGTTTTTAAATGAAGCTATTTGAGTTAGGAGTTTCTAAATAAAAAAAGTTCTGATAGCTGAGTAGCAGCCAGCTCCTGCTGTGAAGGCCATGAGAATAAAAAAGGTCTTTTCTTGCTTAGGCTTTGGCTGATAGGGATGTACTGGCGGCTATCTACTGTCTTAGGTTATTGTTTGGTTGAAACAATGAGTTCTAGTGTAAGGCTTAGTTTTTTATTAGCCTTGAAGGTTGCCTTCTTGCTGAGAGCACGTAGTGGCCAAAAGCCCATAGAATAAGAGATGCACTGATTGTTTCTGCTTTGTTTCTGTGCACATGATAATGTCATCTCACTGCTTGCAAAAAATGTATAAATAAAGAACCTGCTGAGCCTCTCGGCAGAAGATACTAGCACCTCACCAAGTGTCGGTGTCTCCTCATTCCCTTCCCCTCAGCCCCTAAGTTTCAGTCCTTTCGTTTTCGCCGAGGCCGTCTCATCCTTTCAGGAACCCCTGACACGACATTTTGCCGGAGGCTGGTCCCCGGCAGGAGTTACTATCCAAGACCTACAAAGAACTGCAAAACAAGAAAACAACTCAATAAAAACAGGGCAGAGGAGCTAGATGGATACTTTTGTAAAGAAGACATACAGATGCCCAATAGGTACATGGATAAATGTTTGTCATGTGCTGTCAGGAAAATGCCAATTAAAACCACAATGAGTTACCCCCTTACACCTGTGAGAATGACCCACTGAAGGGTGTGGAGGAAAAGGAACTCTCTCTGGTACATGGTGGGTGGGAATGAAGTCTGGTCCTGTTAGTGGGCAGAATGAGGGTTTTCCAGGGTTTCTCAAACCTGTACACTCTACATGGGATCTGCCATCATCTGAATTAAGACAAAACATACTCTAAAGCCTAAGACCTTCAATAGAAAAGAACTTTAATACAATTAGTGTGCAATAGAGAGAAGAGAAAGAATATAGTTAGAATAGTTTCCAAGTGAAGCACCCAAAGCTACCCGTCCCCTCATGTGTAAATGCCCAGAGAAACAGGGTTGGCCCAAAGCAGGCCCACCGGGCCCGAACGCCTGCCACAAGGGTAAGGCACCTACTGGTAGAGACCCATGGGACAGGGGCAGGAGGGGCCAGTCAAGTCTGGAAGGAAAAGAGCAAAATCAAAATCCACATCAAGACAACAGCTGCCATTGTCAGCGTCTCCGTGGGACTCTCACCCAAGTCTTTGTCTCTTTCACATGTCTCTTTCTGTGTCCCCAATTCCCTGGCACAAGTCCAAGCCTGAGGAACAAGCCTGGCTGCTTCTTCACATGTCTCTCTGCTCCATGTGCCTCCTCCAGTCTTCTTTCCTCATCTCAATCCACGTCTTCCTCCTCTTTCTTAGCTTCTCATCCCTGCTCAGCCCCACATTTCCTTGGGTGGGGCGGTAACCTGGAACCTCTCTTTTCTACGGATAGCACATTGGTCCTGCCCCTATGGAAAACAAATGAAGTTTCCTCAAAATATTCAAAATAGACCTGTCCCATGGTCAAGCATTCCATTCCTTGGTATTTATCCAAAGAACGTAAAATGCTAATTCCGAGGAATATGCGCCTCCTATGGTCACTGCAGCACTGTCTACCATAACCAAGCAATGGAGACTACCTAAGTGCCCAACGGCAGGTGAGGGGATAAAGAACACAAACCGTATACACAATGGAATACTACTCAGCCATGAAAAAGAAAAATACTGACTTTGCAACAAGGATAGATATGGATGGGATTATGCTAAGTGAAATAAGTTTGAAGGAGAAAGTTAAATACTGGATGATTTCATTCATATATGGAATATAAAGAAACAAAGCAGGCACAGGTGAAACTAAACCAAAACAAACTCTAGAAATATGACTCTGGAATTGAAGGTATGGGGTGGGGGTAAGAGCAGGAAACAAGGTAGGAAGAGGACCCAGTGGACTATGGTGAAGACTGTGGGTGCCCTTATGGTAGGCGTGATGTGGTAACAAACATCTGAAGAGGGGTGACCCTGGGCCTCTGAACACATACAGTGTGTAAAGCAATGTTACCTCAACTGAGTAGTACAATGAGGGGAAAAAGAAACGAAAAAAGCAAATTGTCTCCTCCAGCAGTCACTGACCTCAGGACTTTGCCTTCGCCTCCTCACTGTCATGCAGGCTGAGGGGCTGGTTTCCCACAAGGTCAGAGGCAGGAGGTGCAGGGACTCCTGGGGTTGTTCAGACCCCGCTGAGTAGAGACACTGCAGAGAGGGCGGCTCTGAGGGGACCAGAGACAGAGGGTCAGAGTAACCCCAGTGCTGAGTGAGGGTCTGGTTCCCAAGGAGAGGGGTGTGTGTGTGTGTGTGTGTGTGTGTGTGTGTGTAACAAGAATGACAGGATATACAACACAAGATGATGGGAAGACAATTAACATCAAGCCCCAGAATGAATGAATTGAAATCGCACACAGAGTAAAGAGTGTGAGAACAACACCTCAGTAAATGCAGTTCTGTGGAGAAGCAGTTTCCAAGCAGGACTGAAAAGGCATTGGACCTGAAGAAGAGGCTGAGGTTTAGAACTATCTCATGGTTGGTTTGAGGTGTAAGGAGCTGGGCAGGACCCCTGCTCCAGGCCCCTGCTAGGATGTGGTGGTAACTTCACCCCTGACAGCTCCCTCCCCCAGTCGCCAATGTTCCTCTTCAGTCCCCGAAGTTCATCTTCTTTGGACTCACCATAGAAAACCCACGGGACTCAAAATGAGGTTGTTCCATGCACTTCAGCTACTTTCTCTCTAGACCAGAACTGGAGGGAGCCACACAGGGGGAGGGAGGAATGTGTGTCTCCCACTGGCCTGGCCCAGGGGCAGGATTAGTCCAAGTCACCCTAGTTCCTGAGCTGAGCCTTTGTCCACAGTCCAGGAAGGGAGGGAGATGGAGCAGGGTCTGTTGCGTCGGGCAACACCACACTGATAAAGAAACGGGCGTCGTGGAGCAGGCTACATGATGCAGGATGCTGCGGAAGAGGAAGATCCGGGCCGTTTTTATTGCTAGAATAATCATACAGCGTCAGTTACGTGGGGCAGGAGGACGAGGAGGAAAGGATGGGTGAAATAAGGAATGTCATCTTGGGCTTCAGGGGGACAGGAGTCTGCTGACCAGATATTTCTTATCTGCTTGATGATCAAGTGTTGGAATCGAAACCAGACCCCAGACCCTGGACCATGGGCCTAATCTTATCAACAAGGCGGTCCCCTGGTCAGCTTCTGGGCTCCCTTGTCCCACCTCGTGATGCATCGTCTTCCCAGGGTGATCAAGCTTTCTCTCTTGCAAGATTTGAAAGGCACCTTGTAAGGTCTGGCTCCCGTGACTGAGTGACCGGGCAGCTCTGACCTTGTGCAGGAATGCAGAACTGCAGGTCACACAAATGGCAGCTGAACAGGCTGCTCAAGTTTAGCGGACCCACCAGGGTCTCCCTCAGCTCTTAGGGGAAGATGTAATGTTAGAGGGCGAACTGACGTTTCTTTCTCATTCTGGGGCTCTCCCGTCTCCCCAGCATAACCCTCCACGTGCAGCAGGGAGAGGATGTCAGGTCAAACCCAGGCTGCTTCCCCCACGCCTCTCCCCGCTAGTGTTCAGGATGCATCTGCTTGTCCGCATGGCCGCGCTGGAGGAGAGCACGGAAAGGTAAGTATCATTATGGTATTTGCTACTGGGATTGGAGGGAAGTTTTTTTTTTTTTTTTACTATAAAAGATCTTTTATTTGGGTTGTTGCTGTAACAAGGCTGTGCAATTAGAAAAACACCTGGGAGAAGGAGAAAGTGTTGAACTGAGTTTTCATAATACAACCAAAAAAAAAAAAAAAGGGAAAAAAGTCAACAGTGAAAATAAGAGAAACATTTGCATGAATTATTCAGTTTAACCCACGACACCCTGTGAGTTGTCAGATACCATGATCCCAGGGTAACTCATGACTGTGGGGAGTGAGACTCAGAAGCGCAGCCCAGGCCACACATTGGGCGACCCAGGGTTCTGACCACCCAGGGCCCCCTGCTGTGGCAGCTGCAGTGAGGAAGGTTCACCGAGCTGAGGGGGCTGAGGCCTCAGTGTGGTCACATCCACTGGAAACATCCAGAGTGAGGGTTGGGTCCTCTTAGTGACGGGCACCCACTACCTGCCCAGGCGCCCTTCTACTGACAAGTCAAATTAAAAAACATTCCTCCTGATGTTGCTCTGATGCTGGAGGCAGGTGAGGTGGGAGAGAAAGTGGAGGTGATGCCAGGCCCTGTGAGCCCTCCCTGCCTGGTGTGGGGAGCAGAGAAGGCAGGTGAGGGTCCATGTTGAGAAAGGCCTGGTGTGCCGTGGGGAGCAGAGACTGGAGAGGGTGAGAGTGTGCGGGGCAGGGAGGAGGCTCCTGCGGTCTGACCAGGGCAGGTGTGGTCACCTCCTCCCTGAGCGTCTCCTCTGCCCTTCCTTGTTCACCTTCCTCACCCACCTTGCAGGACAGTCATGGCCTTGGGGTCACTACTGGACCCCCCTGGAAGAAGTGACCTGCAGCATCTG